AATTATGGAAAAAAAAAAACATCAGGGAAAAAAAAAGAAGGGCATGGAGGTTTCCATCGATGACGTCAAATTTAGAAAAATATGAAATCTTTTGATATACTCAAAAGGAGAAATCAAAGGAAGAAAAGGGAAGAAATCAAATGGACCCGCCAAATTCTGATTTTTTTTAATATTTCAATATATCCTATTTAATATAGAGATTTCAAATTTGGAAACTTTAAAGTAAAAATCAAAATTTTATCATGTAAATAAAATACAAATTCAATTAAATAAACCAATAATTAAAGGTAAATTGGAATAAATAAAAAATTAAAATGAAATCCAGATATGTAAAAATTTGAAAACAAATGCCATTTGTGAAAGTTAGATCATATTTTGACCGACAATTGCTACAAAAACAAGTTTCAAAATCACATGAATTTCAAATTTTGAAATTGATTTATTATGATTTTCACTCGTTAGGTCTTGTTGCAATTTTCCAAGTCCACATGTGAGGGGAGTGTTGAGATTCTTATAAATAAATTAAATTTACCCAATTCATTAGCTTAAGTTTTTGGGTTAAGTGGTGATTTATTCATCCTAATTAACACTTGAGTCACCTCCTATATTAACACCCAACATTTATTTTATTCTCCTCTTTTCCTCATGATCTTTTCGTGTGAGTTTTATAAGCGTATTCGTCTTTTATTAAAACATTTCTTCTATTTTGCAATAAGTTCTCTCAATAGTGAGTATTTTTCTATCTAGTTCGAACCTTAAATTTTGGATAATTTTTAGGTTAATCAAAGATATATTTTTTTGGGATCGCTATGGAGGTAAGTGACTCTGCTTTCGAAATGTTTTAGAACTAGGTTAAAAGTTAATAATGTCGTATTAAAAAATGTTTAATTATGAGGCTTTATGCATATTCATGAATGTGTAAATATTTGTATGAAAAGTTTATGGCAATTACCCCTATTGTTTCAAAAGTATATGTAAACAAACTAGGAGCAAGGTGGGTGGGTCTAAACTCCACAGGGTGCCAATTACTATCGGTCTTTGGGGTAGAGTCTCGCCTGATACCTATCATGCACCACCATCATGAAATTGGTAGCTAACAAACTTTTAGGTAAAATGTAGACTGAGGTGCTTTCTTAACTGAGACTTGATTTCGCTGACTAGGTGCAACATACTATCAGCTAAAGTAGAGCCTCTCATAAACCTACTTATACACCACTATGAAATTGGTATTATTTATGCAATGATTGGTCAATTGTCTATGACAAAAAATGAAAATAAGTTTGATTGATAAAAAATTAGTTCTCACATAGTTATATTAATATGATGTGGTATGTGTGTGTATGCATGTGTTACGTTGTTAGTTTGGTTACTTGCTGAGTATTTAAAAATACTCTTTTATTTATGTTTGCTGGATGTGCAATGGTCCATGTCAGTA